ATGATATGTGATTCAACCAAGGCACCACTGTTCTGTACATTAGGTAGCAGTCGGGAATTTGAAAACTAAATGTTCACAAGCTATAAATTGACAAAATGTTTAGATTTCAATAGCCCTTTGTTTGGCATTTATTCACCCAAATATGTTTCTTGGGAAAGTTAGTTTTCCAAAGGGCAGGCTTTCAGTCAAAGAAAGGTCATTGATTTAAGGTTTATTAAATTTTAGCTAAAAACAACAGGCTCCATTGGGATGTAAAATAATTTAAGTATTTCCTGCAGGCAACCTTCATGCTTTAGAGCTGTTGCTCAAAGGTTTCATTCTTCTATGAAGATGTCAACTGTAAATATAAAAATGCTTCACTGAAAATGTAATGGTTCAAAGATTCTAACTGAAATAAAAATTCCTGCCTGGGGAAGGCACTATAATCAAAAGAAAGTGGTCTTCACTTTTTTTTTTTCCTGTGGAGGCCTCACTTGAAAAGAGTGCTTCAAGGCAGCAGGATTGGTAGGGAATGCCAATTTTTATTCATTTATTTATCTACACTCCCTCACAGATGATGATAGTCCAGCTTTGCAATCAGCAACACACTTCAGCCACTAATACAAGGCAATATGTGAGCTGCTGCCGCTTCCAAAATGCAGTATCCTGGCATTTCAGTCAACTTTATAATCTGGTAAAAACCCACTTGGCAATATTAAAATCTAGCTTCTGAAGCACTTTTATTTCTGAAAGCTTTTGATGTCTTTTTATATCTCTTTAGCATATATTAAATTTCTTGGGAGCAGTGGCCAGGATGGACACTTGATGGATGACTGGGGTGGGGAGTCTCCCCCCAGCCCCCGCTTTTTTTTCCCTCTCCTTTAATTTTAAAAAGAAGTGTGATAACTGTGCATTAGGTAATGCTGGAACATGAATCCTGCAGATGCAGCTGTTTGACAACATTAACATGGGGGGTTTGTACCATTGTTAGGTAAGTTAGCAGAGATTTCCCAAGCTGAGAAGGACAGCCTGCTGCCAAGCTCAGGCATCTGTCTTAAGAAGTCTTTTACTTCAAGGATGCCCTGAGGGAAATGATGACTGGATGCTTTTCTGAAGGCACAAAGGGCCTGTTTTCTCTTCCATAGCATTCACAATGGGACTCCTTGTTCCAGCCTGCCTGCTCAGGGTTTTGTGGTGCTGGGTTAGGGTTTTCATGTGGTTTTTCTCCTGGGATAAAGTTGTGTACAGTGAATATTGATTATTCATCTGTCTGGGTCACTGTCTACATCTTGAATTTAACTCAGAGCCTGTGTAAATGAGGAATGTATTGAAACAAAGTCAAGGATCCTTCAGTGACTTGTTTTTGTGAGTTCAATCTTCTGAGACCTCTGATGAGTCTGGCAGGGCAGTGCCTGTGTGCAGAGGGGCAGGGAAAGAGAGTCCCAGCACAGCAGCAGTGCCAGGGAGCAGCAGCATTTGGCCTGTTGAGAGCTGCTCTTTTTCTCCTGCCCCCCTCCCCTTCTGGGCCTGGGCTGAGGCCTCAGTGCTCTGGGCCTTGGTCCCTGGGCTGGGCTGGGTCAGTCCTGTGGCCATGGCACTGCTGGCATGAGCTGGGCTCCACTGCACTCTTTCCACCACACAAGGGGCTCCATTTGCTCCGGGCACAGCCTGAAGCCTCAGCTCTTCTTCTCCAGGGCTCTCAAGAAGAAGGCCAAGGAGCAGACTCTCCAGAGGGTCCTTGCCTTGCTGGTTTCTCCCTGGAGTCCGTGTGCTGTCCTCAGGGTGCCACTGTGGGGGCTGAGGGGCTGAGGCTGCTCCAGCTGGTGCTGGTGGTGGCCAGTGCCCCTGGAGATGGCAAATGGGGCCTGAGGAGCCCGGGGCCGATTCTCTGCTGCTGGGCTGGGGAGCGGGGCTGGCCCTGGGGCTGCAGGAGCTGCCTGAGCTGATGATGTGCTGAGCATTGCAGACCCAGAGGGCCTGTCCCTGAGCTCCATGGCCTCCATGTCCTGCTGCAGGGCCAGCCCTGAGTGTGCTGCTCTGCTGGGCTGGGGCAGGGGCAGGGAGATGGGGGGACCAGGGAGGGGCTGGACTGGGCAGTGCCAGGGAGGGGAAAACCCCAGTGTTGAGCTGAAGTGTGTGAGTGGGCAGGGTGGGGGCTCTGCCCCACCTAGGGCACCTCTGGAGTCAGCGTTTCCTTTGGCAGCACAACTTATCTTAGACGAGATAGTTTTGCAGAGTTGGCTTTTCCCCCTCTTTCCCAAGGTTTTCTCTTTTGTTTTCTCATCCCCTGAGGGGAAAAGGGGGAAGGGAAGCACATGTTGATCCCTGGTTTTATCTGTATACAAAAGGGAGCTGGGGTGGGGAGGGAGGGGGGAAAGAAAGCGATTTCTCCCTCTATTCTCTCTCTTTTATCCCATTCCCGCCTCCCTCGCCACACCCCGGGCGACTGTTTCACCGCCGCCCCTCCTCGCCCGTCCCGCGGGGCAGCTCTTTGAGCTCCGGGGCGGCGGAGACTCCCCCGGCGCGGCCCTTTGGTTTTCCTTGGTTTATTCTCCGGAGCTGATTCCGTTCCGAGCTCGCCCCCCCTCTCTGGCGACCCCCGCCAGGGCCCGTCCCGGGGCGGCTCCTTCAGTGCCACGGGCGGCGGGGACCCCTCGGGGCGGCTCCCCCAGGGCCCCGCCCGCCGCCGCCGCTCCCCGGGGCCCTCCCCGCTTCCTGCCGGGATCGGACACCGCCGGCGGCCCCGGCCCTGCCGGGCTCCATCAGCCTCAGCAATTGCTGCCAAGGAGGGGCCGGGGGCTTCCTCTTGGCCTTCGTCTCCCTGGCGCTGGGGCTCGGCTTCTACCTGCGCCAGAAGGTGAGGGGGGTCCCAGGGGGTCGTGTGTCCCCCCAGAGCGTCTGTGCCCCCCCGGGGACCCCCCACCCCGCTGTCACCCCCTTTTCTCTCCCCACAGAGCTCCTGAGCCGGCGGTGGCCGCAGCCCCTCCCCGGGGCCTCGGGCCCAGCCTGGACCCCTCCTGTCCCTGTGAGGATTTTGGGGGGGTCGTGTGTCCCCCCCTCCCCTGCTGCCACTCCTGATCCCAGGAAAGCTTCCCAGTTCTCCCCAGTCCCGGTTATTGGGGGGAGGGGCTTGGGGGAACCCCAAGGAGTGGAACCGAGTTTAGGGGGGGGCAGAACCAGCCCCAGGATGGATTTGGAATGGGGACCCCCCTGTGTACCCTCATGTCAACCCGCTCTGGGGGAGTTTTGGGAGGGCACCTGCCCCTCAATGGGCACCCAGCTCACCCCAAAAAGGGCTGGGACCCTCCCCAAAGCTCCCCACTGTCCATCAGGGTCCCCCAAATCCACTCAGAGCCCACCCAGGACCCCACCCACCCCCTTCTCTGGGGGGACTTCTCTGGGCACTGGTGGTGCTGGGAGCCCCCCCAGCTGCGGGTGAGGAGTTCTCGGGTGAGTGCGGGGCGGGAAGGAAGGGGATGGTGGGAAAAGGGAGTTCAGAAGGGATAAAAGGGTGGTGGCACCCCAAATTGAGTGGGAGGGGAGTGAGACCCCCAAAAGTGGAGGGGGAGGGGCACTGAAGATAGGGGGATGATGGGAAATGGGTGGGAGAGGTCAGAAGAGTGGGGAAAGGAGAGAGTGGGACCCCCAAACTGAGCATGAGGGGGCTGGGGATTGAGGGGACAATGGGAAAGTGGAAGGAACAGGGAGAAGGGTGGAAAAGGGAGGGTGGTCTGGCAGGTCTGACAGTCCCATGGGGGTCTTTGGGCACAGGGGGGTTGGCAAAGGGGGGTGGCCCCCCTGAGCTCCCAGCTTACTGTGGGGTGCTGGGGGCTGCTGGATCCAATCTCAGCCTTGAATCATGCCAACAGTTTCAGTTTAGAGGAATTACAGAGGTGTGACTGAAACACTTTTTTCCCCAGGTTTTAACGATGGCAAGTCAGATCTTTTGACACAAATTAATTAATTAGGGATACAAATGATCAGACAGAAGATCTTCAGCAGAATTATTTACTGCACAATAGAAACACTAAAACTACCAGGAGTACAGGATAAGACAGGGCAGTGCTCTACACTAAAGCAATTGTTGAAGCAATTCTACTCAAGCTGGCACAAAAGCAAGAATTCTTAGAGATGGATGGAACTCCCCCAGACTAGTGCTGGTGTGGAAATTTCTGCTCTCAACCTCCAGCAGTGACCTTGGGGGGGTCCCCAGCCAAGGCAGGAATCTCCACACACACCCCAAGAAGGGTTCTGTTGGAAGAAGCTGACCCTGTGAAAGGGGACTGGCCCTTTGTGGTAGAAAGGGATGAACCCCTGGAGTCCAGTCACTGGACTCCAGGGGTTGCCTCACCATCAAGGGGTTCATTGGGGTGGAAGCAGCGGCCGAAGCTCTTCCTGCAGTCAGGGCACTGGTAGGGCTTCCCTTACTGGTGGGTCCGTTGGTGTTGGGTCAAGGTAGAGCTGTGGGTGAAGCTCTTCCCACACTCCCCACACTTGTAGGGCCTCTCCCCTGTGTGGATGTGCTGGTGGGTGATGAGGTGGGAGTTCTGCTTGAAGCCCTTCCCGCAGTCTGTGCAGCGGAAGGGCCTCTCATCCGTGTGCGTCCGCTCATGCAGGAGGAGATTGGAGCTGGTCTGAAACCTCTTCCCACATTCTCCACACTCGTAGGGCCGTTTCCCGGTGTGGATGACCTTGTGGGTGCGAAGGTGGGAGCTCTGCCTGAAGGTCTTCCCACATTCCCCACACAGGTAGGGCCGTTCCTCAGTGTGGATGCGCTGGTGGGTTTGGAGGGTGGAGTTTTGGCTGAAGCTCTTCCCACATTCCCCACATGTGTAGGGCCTTTTCCCACTGTGGATGCGCTGGTGAGTGTAGAGGGTGGAGTTCTGGCTGAAGCTCTTCCCACATTCCCTGCACATGTAGGGCAGTTCCCCAGTGTGAATACGGTGGTGGGTGCGAAGGGTGGAGCTGTGCCTGAAGCTCTTCCCACATTCCCTACACGTGTAGGGCCGTTCCCCAGAGTGGATTCGCTGGTGAGTGCGGAGGTTGGAGCTGTCACTGAAGCTCTTCCCACATTCCAAGCACCTGAACGGCTTCTCCCTGCTGGAAGGCTGCTCAGGGACCACCAGGTCAGAGCTCCGCCTCAAGCTCCGGCCGCCTTCCCGGCACAGGCTGGCTCTTTCCTCCTCAGAGCACCCTGGGATGGCTTTGGAGCCCCTCCTGCGGGGGGATCTCTGGCCCTTTTCCTCCCCGCTGCCTTCCTGCGCCGGGGAGCCCTTCAAAACGGCCTCTCCCACCAGGGTCTCATGGGGGGATTTGTCCTCCGGGCTCTCCGTCCTCACCTCGGGGCCTGGGGCAGGAAGCAAGAAGGACAGGCAGGGGATTTGCCTCCGGCCCACAGGGAAGGCCAAGGACATCCCCCCAACTCCGGCCCCGGCAGGACGGCGGCGCCAGCGGGGTTGTCCTGCAGCCGGGGCCATGCTCGGCTGACAGAGCCAGCACAACACCCGCCCAAAGGGACACTGACTTCCTCCTCACCTGCCTGGGGGGACCAAGGCATCTTCCTCTTCCTCGCAGCCTCCTCCTCCATCCGACCAAGCTTTGGGAAGGACAAATCCTGATGGGGGGGAAAACAAGGGCTGAGTGCGTTGGCTTGGGGGTTCCTCCTGCCCAAGTCCATCTCTAGAACTCACCGGGCATCCTGTGTCCATAAAGACCTCCAAAACACCAAGATCCAGCTCAGAAAAACCCAAACCACTGACATTCAGGCAAAAAATTTTCAGAAATAGCAAGAAGACCCTTAGTCCCTCAAACTGCAAAAAGTTGAAATTCAGCTAAAAGTACTCCAAAATATGAAGATTAGCCCAAAAAAATTCTCCCAGAAGTTCCCCCTCTCTGGTCTGTCCCCTCTGGGGTTCAGAGGGTCTCTCCCGTCTGAGATGCTGGGGGTCCCACTTAGGGATGCTGGGAGTGTTGGGGGTCCCAAGGGTTCCTTCTCCTCTGACTCTCGCCTTACTGGTGCCATGTTCCCAGACATTTCCCCTCTCCAGGTTCTCCACTGTGTTGTCCCAGGGAAACCAGAGGTCCCTCCTGTCCAGGCTTCCCCTTCTCTGCTCCCCCGTTTCAGGCTCCTGGGTCGCTTCTCTCGCCCCTTTCCCATCGTGGCCGCTCCGCTCACCCGACAGCGGCAGGAAGGGCAGGGACAGGGGCGGAGCAGGAACAGCAACAGCAGGAAAACAAGCACCTCCCTTGTTATCCCGCGGGTACCTGGGAAGGGGAACTTATCCCAAATATCTTGGGGAGAGTGCGGGGGGTCGTGACATACTTGGGTTGCCAGCACAGATTTCCCTGCACAGTCTGCAGTGAGTCAAGCTCTGGAGAGGAGATTGTGCCCCATGGATGGGATTGCAGAGGCTCCCTCAGGTCCCCAGCAGGAATCGGCAACCAGGAATAGACACAAAAGGCCCCCCCGAAGATTTCGGGGGTAGTGTCCTGTAGGGAGGGGACAGTGTCACCCCACCAGGGCGGGGCTGGCAAGTGGGAGGCTGCTCCAGGGGTCTGCAAGAGGCCTCGTGCTCTGCTCAGCCCCAGCACTGGCTGGTACCAACACCCCCGGCTGAAGACCCAGCCCTGGGCAGTTCCTGCCAGAACAGCCCCACCCCCACCTGGCCACAACCTCCTGGCAGGGACTTGCAGACAGTCAGGAGGTCTCCCCTGAGCCTCCTCTTCTCCAGCCTCAACACCCCCAGCTCCCTCAGCCTCTCCTCACACCACTTGTGCTCCACTCCCTTCCCCAGCCTCGCTGCTCTTCTCTGGATCCTCTGACCCCAAAAACGCTCCCCCTCCCACAGAAAGGCCAAGGGCATCTGGGGACACACTGGGGACAGTCGGGGGCTTTGTGGGGCACTGGGTGATTACTGGGGGATACTGGGACACACTGGGGGGAACCAGGGGGCACTGGGAGGACTGGGGGGTTACTGAGGGACACTGGGAGGGCACTGGGAGGGCCTGGGGGGGAACTGGGGCACACTGAGGGGCACTGGCAGAGAACTGGGTAGTTACTGGGGGATTACCAAGATACATGGAGGTCACTAGGACACACTGGATGGTCACTGAGGGGGTTACTGGGCCATACTGAGGGTAACTGGGAGGTCACTGGGATATACTGGGGCACTGGGATCCCCTTACCCAGATGTGGTACATCTCCCCCTCCAGATTTCGGAGGGCATCCCTAGGCCCCCTCCCCTGGGGGCTGGGGGACCCCTTGAACCCCACTGCTGGGCTTTAGGGGACCCCCTAAAATCCCCTCAAAACCCCTGAAATCCCCCCCTCGACCCATCGAAACCTCCTCAAGGACCCCTCATCCCTCCCCAGCACCCCCTAAACCCTCTCAGTGACCCACAAAACCCACCTGGGACCCCCCAAGCCCTGTCAGGGACCCCCCAATGCCCTCGGGGACCTTCAAAACTGTCTGAGACCCACTAAACCCCCTAGAGACCCCAAAACTGCCTAAAAGGTCCCTGCAAAGCCCCCCAGGACTCCCAAACCTCCTCACAGACCCTCAAAGCCCACCTGGGATACCTACAATCTTCTCATAAACCAAAACCAATTTAGAGACATCCAAACCCTTTCAGGGACCTCCAACCTCCCCCCTGAGTCCCCTCAGGACAGCAAACCCCCTCAGGGACCCCTCACAAAGACCCCCGGAACCCCCGAACCCCCCCGCTAAACCCTCCCGAGCCCTCCAGCCTTTCCACCCACAGCCGCGCTCCCCGCAGCCCCCGAGGGGATCCCCAGACCCCGCTCTCGCCGCCCCCCCCGCCAACTCACCCAGCGAAGCGCAGCGGCCGCAGGCGAGTCCTGCTCACTCCCGACCACGAGGCCAAAATGGCGCTCGCTCCGCGCGCCCTCCGCCTTTACAGACCCGCCCCGCAGCCAATCAGCGCGCGGCCACGGCCCCTGCCCGCCCTTCGCCACGCCCCCACCTGCGCGGTGCATTGTGGGAGTTGTATTCCCTGCGGCGGGGGAGGACCGGACTTGTTGGGTTTTAGTTTTTCTGTCTTCTTTTATTTTCTCTTTTTTATTTCTTTCTTTTCTTTCTTTTTTCTTTCTCCTTTCCTTTTTCTCTTTTTTTTCTTTCTCGTTCTTCTTTTTTCTTTGTTCTTTTTTTTTCAATTTTTTTCCTGCTTTTTCTTTCTTGTTTTCTCTTTTTTTCTCCTTTTTCTTTTTTTTCTTCCTTTTCTTTGTTTTTCTTTTTATTTTTCCTTTTTTTTTCCTTTTTCCTTGTTTTTTATACATTATTTTCTATCAGTTCTACTTTCAATCAGTTGTACTTTCAAGGAAAATGTAAACACAGATCAAAACAATCTCTAGGTACATAGCTTACAACAACAGATAATCCGCCATTGTTCCAGGTTTGTGAGGATTCCCAAGATCACAAACACTGAGACACCAAGGGTGGAAGTGAAGCCACTTTATCCTGTCCCTTGCCACAGCCTTCAATCCACACCCAGCCCTGGATTTCTGCAAAGCCGCTGGGCAGGAGCAGGAGATGGAGCTGGTGCTCGGCGGGAGGGGCAGCAACAACAAACCCGTGTCTTTGGCACAGGGGAAGGAATTTAGTGCTTGAGGGGTTACATTCCACAGGCTCCCCTGGGGATCAGCTCATGCTCGGACAGTGAGAACAGCAAGAACATTCCTAATAAAAATGCCCGAGGGAAGGGAGCGGAGGGGGAGCAGGGGCAGGAAAAGGAAGCAGAGCGATGGAAGATGGGCTGGGGCGGTCGGGGCTGGGGGAAGGCAGGCTGGACAATGCCTTGTTTGGTCCAGCAGCTGGACCAGCTCCAGGGCAGATGTCGGGGGAGCCTCTGCCACAGGGACATGGACAAACAGACGCTACAAAAGCTCTCAGAGGGGTTGGGGGCTCTGGGCGGGGCTGCGCTCTCGCCTCAAGCCAGGATATCCCAGGGCAGTGGAACAGCAATTCCTGTCAGCTCCCAGCAAAGATTATTGGGGTTTGCACTGGGCAAATATTGACGCTCCAGCTTCTCCTTCTCTTTTTAGAACTTTGAGCTTGCAGTCGGGTAGAAGGGCTGGTGGGGGAGTGGGAAGAGACCCACTGAGGGGCACATCTCATCCCTCAGTTAGATGGAGCTAAACCCCTAATCTTGCTTAGGAAGAGCTGCTGATGCTCAGTTGTCTTCTTTCCCTTCTGCTTCAGTGGGATATTACATTTCCCTGCAGTATTGGTGATAGAAGGGTATGTCAGCTGGAATGGTTTGGTTCTTACAGAAAGCATAAATGCATTTTAAGGAAGGTATTTTTACATAGGTGAGGCCTCAAAAAAAACCCCAAAACCCCAAAAGTAATATAAGTGCAGAATAAAGTGAACTTTGGGGGTTTCTTTTTAATTCTTGGGTAGAAAAGCCATCCCAGTTAGGGACAGCAATTTATTGCATTGCTGAAATAAAACCAACCAACAAACAAAGAAATCTGACTTTGTTCTCTTTCAGATTTGCTTTTGATCATAAGAATCCTTCTAGTGAAAAGGGCTAATTTACTCTTTCTAGAGGAATATTTTAAGTGTGATTATCACAATATCACAGCTGCTGAAAAGCTCTAAAATAGGACATTGACCTTGAACATTTTCCTGCGTTTAGGATGTGGTGCTTAACATTCAAGAAACAATAGAACTGCAGCTCGTTTATTAAGGTATCATCTCAAAATGTTCAGTCTTGCTCTGTAAAGACATGCCACAAGGATTGTAGAAAGCTTGCAGTATCCCAGGAAGTACATGTGGTATTTTATCAGTGTAAATATGGATAAGATTTTCAAGATTTCTGCTGGCAATAATCCATAACTAAAGTAAATTATCCCTTTGGTACTGCACGAGTTTATGATTTAATTGTTACTGACATTCCACCAGTCACATTATTAGCTTCACCAAAGGAAAGGGAAATAATCCTGTATTAATTAAACAGAGCACCTGAATTCCCTCACTCATCTTATCCTTGGCTGTCTGAGACAGTGATGCACTTCAATGTCCTTGAAAATAAAACAAGGAGAAAATATGGAGTATTTGTTTGAGACCAGATAAACTGAAGGTAGTTCAGTAACAT